GTCTTCCACAGTTTTCTTGTGGTGGTTGCAGTCGTCAACGGATTTCTATTCGTATGTGTTGAAGATGTCAAGATCCTGCCATAACCTTTTCAACGAATTGAAATATTTGGTGACGGAATCATCTCCTTGACGAATCTCTCCCAACTTCAAAGTTAATTCGAAAACTTGAGATTGATCTCCTAGGTCAGAATACATCTGACTAACATTATCCCACAATTCTTGTGCAGTAGGATAGCACATGTAATTAGAGCTTATATCCTCCTCCATGGAATTGACCAACCATGTCATAACCATGGAGTTTTCAGCGTCCCAACTGTCGAACAGCGGATCATTAACAGCAGGAGCCTTCTTGTCACCAGTGATGTAACCGATCTTTCCTTGCCCACGGATATACATCCGGACAGATTGTGACCAGCGGAGAAAATTATCACCATTTAGGCGGATGGTGGTGATTTGGACAGAGCGAGAGTTGGACATTTTCACCAGAATGGCAGCGGCAGGGGTTGAAGTGGTTTCGGACGTGACTTCCGACATGGCTATGACGGTTTTAGGGCTGCTGTGTTTTTTGTAACTCTGATACCAACTTAGAAAATATGAGGAAGAAGAACTCCGAAAATATGAGGAAGAAGGAATATATTTCTGTTATATTCAAAACTTCTTATTTTACAAGACCAAATGACACTCCTTATATAGGAGATATTACAAACATCATTATAACCCATTATATGCCACTTACATATTATATATTACCATTGTCTACCACTATCATATTATATATATGCCACTATCTACCACCAACACCACTATCATATTCTATACATGCTACTATCTACCACCAACACCACTATCATATTATATACATGCCACTATCTTATTATAACACAAATTTCCAGCAATGATGTATCCTTAAGACTTGAATCTTTTGATAGAAGAGGTGGATTCTTCATTCCTCAGGCTTATTTTATTGCAAATCCTTTGTTAAGATTATTGACACCCAAAGTGTACATCTTTTGGTTCTTATAAGATGATTTGGATGCCTCTTAAAGTTAAATTTTTTTCATGGACTTGTGCAAGGAGAATGAGGAAACTATTGATCATTTATTTTTGTATAAGAAAGCATATGATCGAGTGCCTCGAGATATAATTTGGTGCGTGTTAAAGAAGAAAGGGTGACAAAAGGCTACATTGATGTGATTAGGGATATGTATGAAAGTGTGGTGACCACTATTAAATGGCCTGCTAGAGAGACAAGTGAATTTCCAATTACTATAGGGTTACACCAAGGATCAACCTTAAATCCATATATTTTTGCTTTAGTTATGGACGAGTTGACGAGAAATATTCATGATGATGTGTTATGGTATATGTTTTTTGCAAATGATATCCTGTTAGTGGATGAGACTAAAGAGGGAATTAATACTAAGTTGGAGACTTGGAAAGAATCACTTGAATCTAAAGGATTTAGAATAAGCAGAATTAAAACAGAATAGATGGAGTATAATTTTAGTAACAATAACAATGAGGGCAGAGGAGAAGTGAAGATTGAGAACTAAGAACTACCTAAGAGTGAACATTTTCATTTTTTAAGATCGATTATCATAACGGCGGGGGAGATTGGAGCGAATGTGGTCCATAGAATTAAGGCAGGGGGTGGCTTAAGTGGCGGAATGCGTCTGGCTATGAAGCACGGACACAGACATGGATACGGACACGGTACACGGCAATTTTCAAAAAATGGGGACACGGACACGGTGGGGTACACGACGAATTTTTATTTTATATATTTTTATGTGTTATGTAGATTCATATTGCATTCATCCTAAATCAAAATTAACAAACACTAACCATTATAAATTATAACCATTTTTGTTGATAAATTTTTTCTATAAAAAAAAAATCATAACCATTTTGCAGAATTTGAACTAGACATTTTTCCTATAAATTAAAACCATTATAAATTAACATTAACATTAGAAGGGGAAAAAAAAAAATTACACACTGTATATATATAAAAACCTACAATTTTTTTTTTTTAAAAAAAATACAATTTTAGAGATACATATACATATTTTTTGATCGGCAAAAGGAAAACTTTATTGATGGAAAGAGAAAATTACATCAATAAAGTGGAGCTTGGAGCTAAAACAAGCTCCAACCTCCAAATTGGTGAGAAACCAACGAGCTAACACAACAGAGTAAGAAAAGAACCAAAAAACTAGATAGCTTAGGCACTAGATCCCCAAAAACAGGACGGATGATACAGAGCCAAACACCTTGCCTTGAACAGCTGTTTGGACGCAGAGCTTCAGCCCACTCATCACCGTTAAGATCTGGTGGGATAGCAGCCAAAAACAAGATATTCTCCTTGGATTAGATACCAGCAGCAGGCCCATTATGACTAGCAAATATCAGAACCAGCATGCACCTAATTACTGAATTATCACTACAACCCCCAGCTCTGCACAGCCCAGCCCAGAAGCAGAATTAGAGTGCAAAATTCCAGCAAGACTCAACCTGCAGAAATTATATGCATCACAGAATTCAGGAATTCAGACTGAAGCAAAATCCAGCAAATCAGCCAGTCATCATAACGCCCTCAATGCATAATGCAGAACTTGACACTTTGCAAATTTAACACCAAATCATTCACGGAATAGCAGCAAGAAGGACTGTATGCTCTAAACCACAATGCAATCCTTGTTTTAATAAGTTCACATAGGTTTTCATAATCCATATGTGAGTCCCCAAAAGTGATTTCATTTCTCTGCTTCCATAGAGACCAAAACACAGCCAAATGTAGTAACTTCCATAGTACCTTCAGTCTTTTTTTCCATCTAAATCCAGACCACCACTGGAACAGACCAGTCAGTGATCCCGGCTGCACCCAAGATACACCCCACCAGCCAATGATATTGGACCAAACTCGCCAGCTAAACGGACAGCTCAGTAGCACATGGGTGGCAGTCTCTAATTCATTTCTGCAGAATTTACAACTAGCATCAGAAGCAGCACTGATTACTCCAATCTTTTGCAAATAGCTAGTGGTCTTGATCCTCCCTTTCCATACTAACCACCCCAGAAATTGCACTTTCGGAGGGGCAGCATTCCTCCATATGAGATCCTCCAAATTTGTAGGCAGAGTAGGGGATGATTCACACCATTTATAGGCAGAGTTAACAGTAAAACTTCCAGACTTATCTGCAGTCCAAAATAACCCATCAGCCACGCCATTCCTAAGCTCTGGGGCAGTGCGCAACAGCTCCTTCAACCTTCTCAGTTCATCCAATTCCCATTGGAACAGAGCTCTTCTGAAAACCAACCCCCAATCCTCATTATCAGTGCTCCTACTCTTAACCACTGCCAGTGATTCCCCTTTATGCATAGACACAGAGAATAGTCGAGGAAATAAATTTTTTAAACAGTCGCTACCAAGCCATAGATCCATCCAAAATTCTGTGAGCCTCCCATCTCCAATACTGATCCTTGAGTTTGCTTTGAAAAATTCCAGCAGTTCAGGGCGCTTAACAGCTACCCCCAATATATCCCTCCACACCATAGACCATCTGGAATTAATCTCTTGAACTGGCCACCGAGACCCACCTAACTGTGGATATTTGCTGAGCATTACTTGTTTCCAAAGAGCATCAGATTCTCCCCCAAATCTCCACCACCATTTGAGAAGAAGACAGTCATTCATGGTTCTCAACTTTCTGATGCCAAGACCCCCAGTACTTTTACTTTGGGTGATGTCCTCCCATTTTACCATGTGAATTTTCCTTCTAATTTCATCACCCCCCCAAAGAAATCTAGACTGAATCCTATCAATCTCCTTGGCTACTCCTTCAGGCATTCTAAACAATGATAGATAAAAAACTGGTAGAGACGAAAGCACAGACTTAATCATCGTCACCCGACCAGCGAAAGACAGATACCTTCGCTTCCAAGAAGCTAGTTTTAACTTGTATTTATCGATGACAGGTTGCCAAGTCCTTTTTCTCCTAGGATTAGCACCCAAAGGCATCCCAAGATACTTCAAAGGTAGCCTATGATGCAAGCAGTTGAGGATGGCAGCAAAATCTTTGGTGAGCTCTTCGTTAATTCCAATCCCACATACCACACTCTTATGGTAATTAATCTTCAACCCAGACAAAATTTCAAAGCACCTCAAAATTCTTTTAATACTCAACACCTCCTCTCTTTTTGCCTCACAAAACAAAATTGTGTCATCAGCAAATTGTAAGTGAGTAATAATGAGCCCATTTGAACCAACTGATGCGCCCTTTAACAACCCAGCCTGGACAGCTCTATGAAACAAAATGTTAAGGCCCTCAGCTACAATATTGAAGAGAAAAGGGGATAGAGGATCTCCTTGTCTGAGCCCCATTTGGGGACTAAACTCAGCTGTAGGTGATCCATTTACTAGGATAGAGACTTTAGCAGTTGAGACACACTCCTTCATCCATTTGATCCATTTTGAGCCAAACCCAAAATTTGATAACATGGAAAAGAGAAACCCCCAGTTAATTGAATCATATGCTTTCTCGAAGTCTAGCTTTAGAATAATGCCTTTCTTGTGCTTCTTTTTCCAGCCATCTACAATCTCGTTAGCAATCAGGATGCCATCCAAAATACTTCTCCCCCCTATAAACGCAGATTGAGCTTCACTGATGATCTTTGGTAGTACTATTTTAAGTCGAGTAGATAAAACTTTGGATAACACTTTGTACAACGATCCAATGAGACTGATAGGCCTGAAATCACTGAGAGAAGAAGGATTTTCATTCTTCGGAAGCAAAGCTACAAAAGAGCTATTAATACCAATAACCAACTTAGAGTTAGTATGGAACTCTCTCATGAATTGCATCACATCCCC